ATATATATGATGATACAGAAGTGATTTTGGGGGGTACTTCAAGATATCCATTAAATCTTTTCCTTCTTCTGAAGCGTGAATTGGATGTTCCTTTTAAAGTCAAGGCTGGCCAAATTGGTAAGTACTTTTACCCTTCATTGGGTAGTCCTTTATATTTTGCCTATGCTGCTTAACCTAAGAAGTGTTTGCTTCACCAAAAGTATGAGAGATTTTTGGCTTATATTAATTTTAGAGTTCTAAGCCTAATGTACGTTTCTTTGACAAAAGGGTAGAAAATTACACTCTAAATGGAAGAGCATTTCAGCTGTAGTCATGTCCTTTAGGCCTTGATTTCACTGCACAAAATACATTTCCATTTTCTAAAAGATAAGTAGATTTCATGTACATGTTCTTTGGATGTGAAAGTCATATAATTTTCAAACTCTATTAAATGAATTGTTCTCATGTTCAGTCATTTCCATTTGATGTATAATGCAGCAGTGTGGTATGGGGGAATGTGTTCTGGTAAGTACAAAGTCTCCTTTGCAGCTAAACACTTTGACCGAGATCATCTTCTATAACAGCATATGTAATTGTTGAAGAAATTTTCAGTAGGAAATTTAATCTAACAGATTGTCCTAAGTGGTACAGGCTATTTGATGTTTTTACTTAAGGAAAGAAAATGTCTATCTGTCTGTCCATCCACTGATCTAGCTATTTATCATCTATCATCTATCTATCATCTATCTATCTATCTATCTGTCTGTCTGTCTATCTATCTATCAACTATCTATCTATCTATCTATCTATCATCTATCTGTCTATCTATCTATCTATCTATCTATCTATCTATCATCTATCTATCTATTCTATCATCTATCTATCTATCATCTATCATCTGTCTATCTATCATCTATCAGCTGTCTATCTGTCATCTATCTAATCTATCTACCTACCTACCTAAATACCTACGTATCTAAATTAAAATCCTAGAATTACTCTTCCTTCTGAGTTTTTGGTGATCTCACATTTGTCCTCTTATCCCCCCAGCCCACTGGTATACTACATTATTTCCCTTCTTTAATCCCTAGTCTGAATTCTAGGGCTTTATCTTTTCCTGCTTTACCACCTCTTAGAAATCACATGGACACATCTATTTGGATCTGTGTTACATCACTATGTGTGTCCTTTACATATATGTGTGTCCTTTTCATGTTTGTTCCCTGAGACTGAAAGTGTCTCTAAGACATCTTTTGTTTGTAAAGTAGGGTGGACAGGCAGTCATGTTTAGCAGGGCTCTAGAAGTATTACTGTAGCCCTACATGCTTAATTCAAATCCTAGAGTATAGGAATTAGACCATTTATTTATTCTTTTACCCTGAAATACTTTCTGCATATGCAAGTACCTATAGGAGAGGCAAGGATAAATATGTTTTTTTCATCGAGGAAGTTATAGATCTAAAATGAGGGTGTAGATTGAAATTGTATTCCCAGCATGTTGGATGAGTTATAGTAACTAAAGTTTGTTGAATTCGTCACTCTATTCTTAAAAGTAGATTTATATTTTGAAGGGGGGGTTTCTAATGCCTTAAATTTTGCCCTTTTTGATTTTCAAAGTATCATTCATAAGGATTTAATAGTTTCTATAGGGTTACTTGTTAAATTGCAGGAGACCCATTACGTGTAAAAATGCAAAATGTATTTTCTTTATTTTTATTCTTTCATCTCTTTATTTTGGCTTGTGGAGCATTTATGTTCTAAATGTCTGCTCTGGTTAAAATATCTCATCTAACTGACAGAGTCAGGGTGGCTAGGCAAGCTCAAGCTTAATTTGGTTTTCTAAGAGCTGGCTATATTTATGGTTTCCCTAGGATTTAAAAAATGTTCCCTCCTCTATAAAAGGAGAGAGTAGCTGGGCTTGGTGGTGCATGCCTGTAATCTCACTTACTCTGGTGGTTAAGGCAGGAGGATTCCAAGTTCAAGACCAACCCGGGCAGCTTAGTGAGACCCTGTCTCAAAATAAAATGCGAAAAACAGGTCTGAGGATATAGCTCAGTGGTAGAGCCCTTGCCCAGCATGTGTGGGCCTTTATGTTCAATCCCTAGTACCAGATGTATACAGTAATGTAACTAACTGATTTTTTTCAGGACATTTTTGAGGGATGAGAGATAATGTGTGAGGGTAAATGCAGAGAAGAAAAGTTGAAGGAACAGATGTTCCTTTTCTGTTATGTTGAAGGGATATTTCCTGTTTTTGATCTTATACTCACTAAAAAGACAATCAAATTCTGTTAGGAGTTCATGAAGTAATATGTAGGCATCATCCATTATAAATCATAAGGATTAGAAGTGACCCAGAAGTGTACTGGTATGGCCTACAGGGTTCCCTGACCTGGAGCCATGTAAGAAACTCAGCTGGTTTACAAGATGAAGAGAAGTGAAATTCTTAATGGAGAAAGAATTTGATACTTTATCTCTGGTATAGATTCCCACATAAAATTGACTTGGCTATATAGCTATCCAGATAACCAGAATATTCTCCCTTGTAGAACACTGCCTTATTTCCTGTTCAGCTTGCTGTATTGTTTATCAGATTCTTAGAAGACTAAACATCTTCCTTTAAAAATGCCAGTGTTACATGGTAGCATGTAGCATACTAGAGTGAGTTGAGCCAGATCATTTACTAATGTCTTGCTCAGCAATACTGATCTTACAGCATTTACAATGTCAGCTAAGAAATTATGATGAGAGAAGATATTTTAGTTTTGGAACATGGAGAGCTTCAGGAGTAAACTTTGGCTGAAATTGTAGTCATGATGACAAGAGAGTATAATATAGCTGCCTGGAGACTTGAAAAGAGGGAGACCAGAGTCCAGAAAAAGATAAATTTGAGAAGATACCAAAACTAGGTTTTTCCCATTACAAAATTCAGCGATCTTTTCTCTTCTGCTTGGCAAACCCTTCTCCTCATACACCTCAAATGGTGGTTACTTATATCAGGGTCATAGTTCATCTATGAAAAGTTAACATTTTTAAAAGATTTATATTTATGTGTGTGTGTGTGTATGTGTGTGTATACATGTATGCATGTATGGTTTGTGCATGTAAGAGTGTAGGTGCCTGTGGAGGCTAGAGTTAGCAGATCTCCCCTGGAGCTAGAGTTACAGGAAGTTGTGAGCCACTGGACATGAGAGCTGGGAACTGAGTTCCAGTCCTCTGCCTGAGCAGTGTGTGAATCCTGAGACATCTTTCCAGTCCCTAAAGATTTATTAAATTTTTTTTTAAATTTATGTGTATGTGTGTGTTGTGTGACTGTGCTCTGTGTGAGTGCATTTGCACAGGGAGTCCAGAAGAAGGTGTCAGACATCCTGGAGTAGGAGTTAAAGGTGGTTGTGAGCTTCCAGATATGGATGTTAGGAACTGAGTTTGGGTCCTCTAGAAGAGCTGGAAGTGCTCTTAACTATTGAGCCATCTCTCCAGCCTAAAAAGCGATATTTTTTTGTTGGCTCATCTCTGAATCACCTGATGTTGATATCATTGTTTGTTCAGGAAATTTTTTTTTAAGCACAGGGTCTCATGTAGCCCAGTTCAGCCTTGAATTTGCTGTGTCGTCAAAGGCTGGCTTTGACTTCCCAATCTTCCTGCCTCCACGTCCCAAATGCTGGAATTATAGGTATGTGCCACCCTGACTAGTTTAATACCATTGTTTCTAAGAAAGAAAATATGTTCTGTTTCTAAGGGATTTGCAAATACATAATTAGAAAATAACTGAGTTGTACAGCACTATTAACATAAAATAACACAATACTGTTCATTAAACAGGATGCCTTGCCTCTTTGTAGCAGTTTGACCTGCCATCAAAGTTCATAAAGAAGAGAAGGGACTCTTCTGTGCTGCTGCTTTGATTCCTGTGGTGCACAGATAGTATTCTTACAGTGGCCATATTGGCACAGTAATAGAAGTTCAGTTGTTGGTGTGGCTAAAAAGAGCTTATGTGGTATTCACGTGTGCCCTGCACTCAGCTCTGGCTCCAGCTTCCTCACTGATGACCTGGATAAACTTAAACAGTTTCACTTCCCTGGGACTGAATGTTTTCCTTTTCAAAACTGCAGTGTCGCTGAATTTATCTTCTGGATGTTAGATACTAAATGAGAACAGTATGAAATACAAACTTTAAGGGTTAGTTTTTTATTTCATTCTCTTCTTTGTAATACACATACTAAATACCTGCAGAGTTTTACTCTTCTTTTCATGGAAAGTGAGAAATTTTTTTGAATCTTTTAGCAGTCAAATAAGAATTTAAGACTGAAATTATGTTTGTTTAGATAAATTAACTTTGAAGATTCCTTGGAAAAACCTTTATGGAGAAGCAGTTGTTGCCACCCTAGAAGGATTATACCTGCTGGTTGTCCCTGGAGCAAGTATGTTGTTTTCAGTTATAATCAATCAGCAGCATCGCCATGAAATGAAATGTGCCTTGGGTTAAGTATTCTAATAAGATTAGTCAGATAGAATATGTGTAAACAGATTAATCACATGCATGTATGCAATAAATTTGCATACATTTTACATATGCATATACATGTATTGCTACATTCATATATAAAATGCTTTTCTGTTATTATGTAAAAGTATAAATTCAGTCTGTTTTAGGCTTGTTCGTCATAGTAATTGTTTTTTATCTGAAGCTTCCTTTTAATTTGAGATGCACTTGATTGATGTACTAATAAGGAATGAATTGAAATACAAAAATTAAAATACACCAGTAGGTCAATTTACATATTTTAAGACTGAAAACTATTTCTTCCACATTTTGTAGCTTCTGATTGTATTTACTTAATATTTCTTTTTTAAAAAATATTTTATTTATTACTTTTACTTTATGTGTATGAGTATATTGCCTGCATGTATGTGAGTGCACCCGTGTCGTGTAATGCCAGCAGAGGTCAGAAAAGGGCTTTGGATTCCCCTGGAACTGGAGTTAAGGACAGTTTGTAGCTGCCATGTGGGTGTTGGGAATTGAACCCAGGTCCTCTGCAAGAGCAGTCAATGTTCTTAACTGCTGTATTTTTAATAATATTTTATTTATTATTTTTATGTGTATGAGCCTGTGTGCATGTAAGTGAGCCCATGTTGTGCAATGCCTGCAGAGATTACAGATGGTTGTTAGCTACTATGTGGCTGCTGGGAACCTAACCTGGGTCTTCTGCAAGAGCAACCAGTACTCTTAACTGCTGAACCATCTCTCCAGCCCTGGCTTCTGATTTTAAATAAGTGTTCTTTCAAAAATATGTGTAACAGATAGGTTTTTTTTTCCTCAGAAATCACAGTATTTTAACTATAATGAAAATTTTGAAATATTGAGGCTTAAAATCTTTAGTTTTTACTCTTTTCAGGTAACTGGACAATATGATAAAAATTTGGATTTTTGGCAGAAAAATTGCTTCCAGTTTCCCAACCATAATGCAAATGTATTATTTATTTTTGCATATTGCATACTTTGTTATCTATAATTCAGAGTCCTTTAATTAGTAATTGCCACATTAAATACATAATATTGAATTGAATTTTTCATGATTTTTTCTCATAGTTTTCATTGTAATAATGATGATTTTGAAAGTTAGTGAATATTAACCTTGTTTATTGCAGCTTATGAAATACTGTAAATATCTTCCTTTTTGTCTTTTTAAAGATTAGTGTTATAGGTGCTCATGCAATGTAGTAGTTTAATGAAGGCATCTTCATATGTGTGTGCTGTTATAATTTGTTCAGTATCTCCTTTTTACAGATATTCTTTACTTTTATATTCTTTCCTTAGTGTATATGATCAGACATGAAATTACAGATAAAAAGGATATATGTATGTTATGATTATTGATTTTTCCCAAAACATTTTGTAAAAACTTTATCAATCTACATTGACATTGCATGACAGTATATGTTACATCATTTTTATTTATTCATATTTTCTGAAGATTTATTTATACATATGAGTGTGTGTCTGCATGAGTTACCAACATGTGCATTTAGTGCCTTTGGAGTCCAGAAGAGGATGTTGGTGTCAGATGCCCTGGAACTGTAGTTAGAGGCAGTTGTGAGTCTCCTGATATAGGTGCTGGGAATTGAACAAAGTCCTCTGCAAGAGTGGTGTGTACTCTTAACTGCTGAACTATCATCTCTCTGGCCCCCTTACATCATCCTCAGACAATAGCAGCCCACATTCTCTTTTGTCTTCTGTCTCCTTTAGTAATCTATCCAGTTTTTTCCACCTTTTCTTTTTTTGGTATCTTCCTTTCTCTTTATAATTTCTTTCCTCTTTCTCCTTTTGATGTTTTATAAATAGAACTCACTATATCTAAGATTTTTGTAAAATTAATCTTTGCAGAACTGCTTTTTGACTTAACAAAAAGAAACATGTTAACGCATTTGTGGGGGCTAAATTTTTCCTGTTTTCTAATTTCATTTCTTTTTATTAACTATCTAATTTTAGGTATTAAATATGATGCTGAGAAAGAAGAAAAATCTTTGCAAGATATTAAACAGAAGGAACTTGCCCGAATTGAAGAAGCTCTTCAGAAAGCAGCAGAGAAAGGTACAATAAGTTGATTGTGGCTAGCTTAGACAAACCTGTCTTGTAGTTTAATGTTATTTTAGCCGTGTTTTCATAGGCTTGCTTAACCTGCAGTTCTACAGAATGAACCTTCTTTTAAAATCTTAAAATAAATATTTCAGTGATTTACATTTAGTATTGATTTCTTTTTTCTAGTGATTGTTTTATTCTAAGTTCCTGCAGTTGACTTTGTTTTGACCAAACGTTGAGGTTTATTTTATTTATTTTTGGTGTGTGTGCACTTTTTACCTATGTGCTTGCAGGGTGATGAGATTAAACATACTATTACAGTAAATGATGTTTGGAGGAGATGCTGCTGTAACCCAGTTTCCCTGTCACTCTTCATGAGGAACGGGATATTTGGATGAGATGGGGCATGTTCAGGGTGGTATGGCCATAGACTGGCGTAGAATATTCAAAACACATTTTCTTTTTTCCCTTTAGATTTCAACATTTCCATATCTTGAATAATTTTTGTATCCATCTAAGATAAATATGATTACTTTATATTTTGATCTTGGATTATAGAGGCAGAACAGAATGAGGTGAAAAACATTAGTCTGTAGAGTGATGAGTTTGAAGGACTTTTCCAGATATCTGACTTACTTCTCTTTAAAGTCCAGTCATAGCTCTTTTTCTGACTCAGGTGTAAATTATTAGGATTTTACAACATTTCTTTGCATTTGGTGACTGGTATACATAGTTCAGTGATGAAGGCAGATGTTCTGTCTAAAAGAATAAGGCAAATATTTTTGTTTCACCTTATGTACAGAGGTACCTTTTTTCTTCTTCTAAACAAAACAAAACGAAACAAAACAAGATAAGGCAAATATTAAATTAGAAATGACTTGAATTTCACTTAAATACAAAGACGAGTTCTTTCTTTAGCCTCAGCTGGTAACTTACTTGAATCAATGAGAAGTCTATTTTAAAAATGACTTGGCTAGTGTGGTTTTTTCAGTCCTTGCTACTCTGGAGGTTGAGACGGGAGCCTGAAGCCTGGGGTGCAGGCCATTGTGGACAACATATTGAGACCCGATCTTGAACAATAGTAACAAGGACAATACCCTGCTTGTGATGCTCTTTATCACTCATCCTAAGCCTTTTTTGTCCCAAGTATGTTTTTCATTTGTAGAAATGATTCTTTTACCAGAAGCTACTATAACCATTCAAAATACAGAGGCTACCAAATGGAAGGAAACACTTAAAACCCTGAATGTTTTTTCCCCTTTTATTGTTTTAGGATGGTATTCCAGTAGTTTTTTTTTTTTTTCCCATTAGTATATGTAGAAATGCTCCTATAAACACAAGGTATAATATTGAAAAGCACTAGAGTTTTATTTCTTTTTAGAAACTTCTCAGAAGAAGTATATTTTCTTCACACACATGTACACACACATGTACATATTTGTCAAGGCCTAATGACATACTTAGATCTACTGATGTATAGTTATATATTTATGCTCACTTTATATATTATTAATGTACTATCTTTTATGAATAAATCAAAACTTTTTTTTGGGTAGGACTAAACTATGATTACTTTAAAAGTAGTTTATTGTTTTCAGTGTTCTGTAAGATAGCCTTAGCAGTTTGGCTTGTTTTAGTTGATGACTTAATTGACATAATGAAAACTCACTATACATTTTGTGTTGTGTGCTTATGAAACTTTGGCTGCTAGGTTATTTAGTGCTTAGCTCCAAGCTGACCTGTTTGGGCTTGATGGAGACCTGGATGATATAATTTTTTTAATAGAGGGTGAACACCTATAAAATTAATTTTGCATAAATAGGTCTTTTAGGTTGATATAGTATATAATACCAACATTGTAGCTTCTTGGCTGATAAAAATTTAGGTTTTGTTGGGATATATTTAAAATTTAGGGAACAAAACTCAGTTTTAACATACTATGTTAGATTTATCAAGGAAATGTTTAGAATATAAAATAGATGAATTTAAGAATTGAGAAAAATGCTGAGAGATTATTTTTCCTTAACTGTGAAGAAATCTGTATAATCATCTTGACTGCTTGTAGATGTTCCTTTCTAGTTTCTATACATCTGTGTCCTATCTTCATAGGAGGTTTTTCATATAGATGGTAGAGATACACTGGCCTTTAAATGCCTTACATCTTACCTCATTAATTAGTAGCTGTTTCTTATCATGCTCTCTTCAGATGCACTTTCCCAATGTGTCCTTGATTTTAAAAGTATGAAAACACCATTGCCATATATAGAGACTCAGAGAGAAAAGGAGAGGAGGTGATTATACTTTAACAGGCATGGTGATAAAAATGAAAATATAACCTTCATGGGCCTGGAGAGATGGCTCAGCAGTTAAGAGCACTGGCTGCTCTTGCAGAGGACCCGGGTTCAATTCCCAGAGCCCACATGGTGGCTACGAATTGTCCTTAACTCCAATTCCAGGGGAATCTGAAGCCTTCTTCTTACCTCCGCAGCATTGCATGACATGGGTGCACTCACATACGTGGAGACAATACACTCATACACATAAAATAAAAATAATACATAAAAAATATTAAAAGTGTAACCTTCATGTTGATCCACTCTGTAAAATGTAACATAAATAAATAAATAAATATAAATAAATAAATAAATTAGAGTGTTAGCATTGCTTGGAAAAAAAAATCAAAGTCTTTGGTTTTATTTTTTGAGAATTTGCTTACCTGAAAAAATAAACATTTTTTCCTTTTATTACACTGGAGTGACTTTTTCTGTACTAGAGAAGGCTATCATAAAGCCAAGGGAGTGATGAGTTCCTGGGAAGACCGAGAGCTTTCCAAATGGTAGTTTCTGTATTTAAAAATGTAGTTTTGGAAGATAATGTATACATACACTTAAAAATCAAACCATTTTTTTAGGAACACGATGATAGGGCAGTTGCCTGCTCTACACTTTATTATTCTTCACATCCACTTCTTCGGTAACCTTAACTTTAGCAGCATCAACACTGTCTTTTTCTTGTTCACTAATGTACATTAGACTCTTGGTTTTTGAATCTCTTGTTCTCTCCTTTCCCTAAGTGCCCTCCCTGTTGTCTGCAATTCACTGCATTTAAAAGGTCAAAAGTGTTACCCTCTCTAGCTTTAAAAAATATGGCTTAATCATGAGTTTTGGCCAATTACTAGTCAATATCTACCTTACTGTGACAACACTGAACATTTGATGTACAGATGAATTGACATACTGTGATTGTATTTCTTTTTTTCTGGCAATCTTTTGTTTTTCTTAAATTGTAAAAACTTCTTTTTATTCTTTGCTTAGTCTTCTGCATAAACTTACTAATTTTTTTTCACATACTACATGAAATTGGTTGTTTTGTGGATATCCATGCTACTTTCTAGTTGTTTTAATTCCTATCCTGGTCATCTCTACCTATGCCTTCCCCCCCACCCCCTTGGAGTTTGCTATTGCAACTTTTTTTTTTCCCCCTGCTTAATTTAATTTAATTTAATTTAATTTAATTTTATTAGTGCTGAATAAGTGAACACAGGGCCTGGTACATACTAAGCTGCCAGTATTCCCAGTGTTTTAAAAAATTACTTAAAAATGTCTTAGGTCTGTTATACATAGTCTTCTTGAGACTGGTCCTCATTATTCCCCTCTGTTGGATTAATGGTTCCTTAGGTTCCTTGCCTATTTTTCTTTAGCTTCCTCCTTTGCTAGATGTGTCTAGTAGCTTTCAGAATAATTCTGAAATTACTTTTAAGGACAAAGGCCTTTTCATTTTTTTTTTCCACTATGAAATTACTTTAATGGTGGAATCTGTACAAGTGATGTCGGGCCAGACAGCAAGTGCACAGTGGACATAGCTGTGAGTGAATAAAGAGTTCACACCGATATCATGCTTTAGCTGCTAAGACAGCTAGGCCTTTGCATTTTACTTCTGGATCTGTTTTGTCTGGGTTAGAATTTCATATTCACGATCTGGAACTTGCCACTCACACCTGCATCCCAGCACTCAAGAGGGTAAGACAGACAGGTTTTAGGCCAGCCTGGGTAACATAGTGAATTCCATACCAGGCTGGATTATAGAGTGAGACACTGTCTCAAAACCCAAATCAAACAAACAACACCCCGCCCCCCTGCCCCAGCAATGCTGAGTAGTTTCAGAATTAGGATTTTGAAGGCAATGACTTCTAAGTTCCAGGTGTCAGTACGCTCTCTGTGTTGTTGAAAACTGAATTTTAATGCAAATCATATTTGAATTGGGAAAATACAATATTTATTTAATGATGAACAAGAGAAAGTGTCCGAGTCCTGTCAGAGAAGTCCAGGTAGTGTCCAGGGAGTTCAAAACGAGCAGTGTGTCCTGCCAAAGAGATGAGGACAGACTGTGTGAAATTGTGTTTTAACAGGGTGCAGTGAACCCAGAAAAGAGTGAGAGCACTTTAGGGTTAGAACACTTTAGGTAGAGGAGGCAGGCATACAAGCACAGAGCATCTGTAGGGAACAGATAGATTGTATTTGGGTGTAAGGTTGGGAAACTAAGTTTTGGTCAGTTTAAAGAGATTTGAATGACATGATGATGATGATGATGATAGTGACGGCAGTAGCTGGCATTTATTATTTACTATTTGCCAGTCACATGTCAAGATGCTTTCCGTGAACTAACTCATCTAGTAGTTACCACCCTGTCTTATAGGTGTTATTATTGTTTCCATTTTACAGTTGAGGAAGCTGATAGTGAAATAACTTGTTATAGGTCACACAACTAGAAAATGAGAGAGATGGAATTTGAACCAAGTCTTGAGATCATGTCTTCTTACCCTGTGCAGTAGTGAACTTGAATCTCTAGCTGGTGGAGCAGTAGGGAGTTAATAAGTTTTTCTTTTCCTTTATTTAAAAGCCCAAGGAACAGCTGAGCAGAGCTGTGATTCTGGAAGTTTAAAGTGATGTGGGCTACGTTAGGTGTGGGTAGGAAGTGGTAAACAATGCTGTCCAGTCATCGTTAACTAGGATGGATAAAGGGTGCAGACAGGGTATCTGAAGGGAGCACATCACACACTCAAGTAAGATGGGATCGTTACATCAGACTTAATTATTGTCAAGTATCACAGTGACTTAAAGAAAATGGAAAGAACTGCAGGCAGAAAGAGAATCAAAATAGCAGGTTTCTATATGAAAATTTATCAAAGATTTTAGTGAGACATTAGCTGTTATTTCTATTTGCCTGCCTTGCCTAATTTGATTGTTGTAATTTTCATTACTAAGAATTTTTGCTTTAATATGAAAATAAAGTTCATATGCCAAAAGAATGAAATGCTGTCATTGTGTTTCCTCAGAACGAATGGTTTTGCTATCACTGAAGCTCAGCTATTCTGTTACATGGTGTCTGAGTCTTTGCAGTTAACTTTAGGCGCATTTCTCTTATGAAAGTAAAGGTCTAAAATGCTTTGCATTTTGGTTATTGCTGCTATGGGATGCAGGCGCACACCCAGGGGAGTTCATGTATGGCTTGGAAAGCTTTGTTTACAAGGACATCAAGCCTGGTGGGTATGCATGGTTAATTATATTTAACTTCTTAAAAATTATATTCTTACCTATGCCTGAACTTTTAGTGGAGTACAGTCAGTGGTGTGGCATCCTTTGAAAATATGGAAATGTAATTCATGTTCTCACCCTTGCTATCCTTTTCCCTACCGTCCGTAGCCATTCATTCATTTATTCACTAAGTATTTGCATGTTTTCATGTAGCAAGCCCTATTATGGGAGTTTGGTGTTTCTGTAAACAAGCAGTTAATCACTGCCCTTGTGAAGCCCACAGTTTGGTCTACACATAACTGAAATTTGTATTGACTTTGCTTTAGTTTTCTAATATAGTAGTAGTTTCTCAGATAAGTCCTTCCTCTTCCTTACGGCAGGGATATGTTCAAACTCGCAAGAAGCAATAAAATAGAACTTTTTTTTGTAATACTTTATTCAGAGCTTCAAGGAGGGCGCCTCTGTGTTCCTTCTCATATTTTCCTTGTGGAGAGTCTGCTAGCCTGCTGCCCTATATAGCGTATTGAAACCTGAAGCTTCACAAAGGCAAATTGAAGGCTGTTTGTTACAGAATTTATAAGAAGATTCTTTTATGCTAGAAATTCTTATTTTCTAGAAATTATGCCAAATGAAGTGATAACTTAAAAAATTTTCAATACAGTTTTGGTTTATTAAATGTGTTTATAACTCT